CCCCACTCTTTCCTGATAATCTTCCCCATGATTTTGCATCATACAGTCAGTGACACGGTTTAGTTTAGTGCTTTTTGGGCTGTTCCTTTTTTAAAAATTGGATAATTTGCTGTTTCCATACCTCAGGTAGTCTCCCGTTTTAAAGATGTGTTGAATATTTTTGTTTTGGGGTACACATTGCCTCTGCACCCTTCTCAGGACCCAGGGAGAGATGTTATTCCGGGGCCCTCCCCTTTGAGGGTCTAGCTCGCTCAGCAGCCTCTTCACTTCTTCCCGTTGTACGTGTGTCCAACATCGGGGGTGTGCCCCCCCCTTTTCCCGTCTTTCTGGAGCCCCTTCTGTCCCCCCTGTGAACATTTTTTGAATTCATAAGGATTTCCTAAATATTTTTGCGGTCGTTTTTTGTGATTTCCCCCTTTCCCTTCCCTTAGCCTGATTCCCTGGCCTTTGAGTTGTTTTCCCCCTGATGTGGCTGTTTAACAGTTTCGGTAAATTTTGGCTTTCGCGCTGATTTTCATATTGTCACGGGGCCTTCCCTTCTTACTGTGCATATTCATTTCTGGCTCTAAAACCCACTCCCCTTATTTCTTGAGTCCTTTGCCTTCTCTACTTTTTCCTTCCTGCACATTTGGTTTTGGCCCCCCTGCATTTTGGTAAAACCAGGGGTCGTCCTGGTTTTTCGTTATTCCTGTACCCTTTGGGATACAACCTAAAACTCAGTTCCTTAAAATTGTTGTCACATATTCTATATCTCATTTTTAAACTTCCCTGCCTTCTCTTCCCCCTGAACCCGTTCGGAAATTCCCACGTAGTCACGCTTTCGTAGTTTTGGGTTTATTTGTCTGGCCCCTGCCCCCCCCCTCCACTTGTACTTACGTGTATTCGAAACTTAAAAACCACATGATCGCTGCCCCAAGGGGTTTTTTCATATGTAGTCCTTTAATATTGCACACTCAAGGTGGATATAGGTCCAGTCTCACTGGTTCATCCCTTCCCCCTCTCTCTCTGGTATGTCCCCTTTCTATTGGTAATGAAAATTTTTCCAGTACCACTTCCATATCTTTTCCCCCCCATGTTTCTTGGCCCCCATGTGGCTCCAAGTTTTCCCAATCGAATTCCTTGTGGTTGAAGTCAGCCATGATCAGTAGCTTTGCCCTATTCACATGAGCCCTTCTTGCCACTTCAACTAGTGTGTCAACCATCGCTCTATTACTCTCATCATACTCTTGCCTTGGCCTCCTGCTGTTCTGTGGTGGGTTATACATCACTGCAATTACCACCATGGGAACTCCAGACTGAAGCATTCCTACTATGTAATTCCTTGCTTCTCCACTGTCTCCTCTCTCCAGCTCATCAAACTCCCATCAGTTCTTGACCAGTAGTGCTACTCCTCCAACCCCTCTGTTCCCTCTGTCTTTCCTCAGGATCTGATATCCCGTTGGAAAGATGGCATGTGTTATCATCCCTGTGAGCTTGGTTTCTGTGAGAGCTATGATGTTTGGTGATGCCGCTTTGACTCTTTCATGCCACTCCTCCCACTTATTTGTTATTCCATCAGCATTGGTGTACCATACCTTCAGTTTCCTCTCCAACACTGTGTTTTGGGGGGGGGTCTGTACTGTGAGATTCTATAGCTGAGTGTTGGGTGGGAGCTGTGGGTGTGGATTGTGGTTTGTGTTGGAATAGCATGATTGGTTGTGGAGTTCTGGGGATGGTTCTGTGTGTGCTTGCTCTTGTTGCTCTGCCCTGCTCTGAATGTCCTCTGCAGATTCTGTCCTTGTCTCTCCTCCTAGCTCCGCTTTTGTGTCCTCTCCCTCAGCTGCTGTCATTCTGTTTGTGTTCTGTCTCAGTCTAGGCACACCCTCTTGTATTCTGCTGAGTCCTTCAACCGTGGTTTCTCTTGGAGGAACCTGTTATGCACTGTTTCTGTCCTGAAAATCAGCTTGATTGGTCATTTTCATCCCTTCAGATACCCCCCTATTCTCTAAAAATTTACAATTTTGGAAATTATGCTTGCTGAAATTAGTGCTGAATAACTGATGGAACCAGATGTCTGATTGCCAGATTCATGATGGCGGACCTGTATTACTGGGGTAACTAGTAAATTATTCCTTTTGTATGCCTTCATTCAGAGCATCAATTCTTCTAAAAATGGTGTTACGTGAGAATGGGAGTGTTTCTCTTTATTTATTTTACTGTATCAACGTGAAGACAACTTATACACAATGTAAAGTGTTTGTATTAGCATATAATACAAAATGAACAAAAACCAAACGCGTTCACCTGGTTTGTTTACATTACGTGTGGGTGGGGTGGGCTGCCCTGGCTGGCTACCGTACTTCCCAAACCTGACTTCCTACAAATAAAACTCACTTCTCACCCTACATTAAAACTACAAATATTTTAAGTGATTATGTGTGAGTGAGGTGAAAGTATTGAATGATGATGACAGTATTTTCTTTTTGGGTCACCCTGCCTCAGTGGGAGATGGCCGACTTGTTGAAAAAAAAAAAAATAATGAATGTTCTGTATATGTATTTTATCGCTCTGGGGCACTTTAATTAAATGTTGTAGTATATTATATGTGGGTGGGGTGGGCTGACCTGGCTGGCTACCATATCTCCCAAACCTGACTTCCTACAAATAAAACTCACATCTCACCCAATATTAAGACTACAAATATTTTAAGGTAAGTAATGGATGTACTGTGTGTATATTTTACTTTTTATTGTTTTTAATGCCTAGTTCTATTGCTAACTAATATGTTAGTGAAAACTTGTTATCTGGCATTTATATGCATTTATAAGTAGAAAAAATGGTGTTCTGCTTTGCGGCAGTAGCCTGGAACTTGACCTGCCATATAAGTGGGCCCTGCTGTATATGTCATAGCTAGAGGTCACATTATTACTATAATCATGGTGACATGCTAAATCTTTTGGGGGAGAACTCATACTAACTTAATGAAAATGATTTAAGATAGCCAGTTTTCTCTACTTGTTGGGGTCAGTGACCCAAAAGAACACACTTAGTATCTAACAAAAATATAGGTTTTAAGTACTACTACAAATCTTGTTTTTCAGTTTATTACCAGTGTGTACTCTACCACCTCACTTGTAATCAGTGTTAAACAGCTGTTAGGAGATAATTATTTTATAGCTGGATAAGAATGTGATTGGTTCTTGACTACATGTACTGCGTGTTTCAAGTTTATGTTCACTTTCCTAGGTGCTATAGTATTTAGAATTACCTTTAAATATATAATTATGAGGGAGCAAGGGGCTAGTAACCCCCTCTCCGTGGAATATGGCTGGTTTGTTGAAAGAAAAAAAATATATATGATTAGCCAGAAGTAATATGTGCATTTCTCCCAGATAAAACCCCTTTATAACAGGAAATGTGCAAAGAAACTTGCAACTTTAATTAATGACAGCCCCCAAAAGTTCATTTGTTTATATTATCAGAATTCTATATGAACCAGTTAATGTTTTGAATAGATTAGACATGGAGACATGTTGATTTTGATTTTTAGTCTTGGACAAATGTGTTGGCAGGCAGAGTTCAGATGGACACTTCTGTGAAGGCTTGAAGAATAGATAAATTGGACTGACATCTAAAATGTTGTATCTGAGTGCCTCTGCAAAGACAGTGTTATGTATGAGTGATGGTGAAAGTGTTGAACAGTGATGAAAGTTTTTTCTTTCTTTTTGGGTCACCCTGCTTCGGTGGGAAATGGCCGACATGTTAAAAGAAAAATTATCTATGGATCATTTTTGTCATGGTAGGGACCATACCCATCCCATAAGTAGGTACTCTTCCAAAATTAAATATCCCTTTGAAAATGCTGTCTGATGTACAGTGTACTTAATCATATTTAATATGAATTATAGTCCTGGCTTTGTTTTTGTGTATATGCTCATCTCTTTCAGGATTTTCAAAAATATATACTATATTATTTGATCTCACCTCACCTCACCACTTAATGCTCTGACCTGCCTTCTAGAATTCTTCCCTTTTCTTTCTCACTCTGAACGAGATAATGATCCATGACAGACCAAAACATTGTCCAGGTTTCGCTTCTAGTTTGTAGGTTAGTAGTGACGTACCCAGCTACAGCACTGACTTTTGCATTTCTTTAAATGTTCATTCAGGCATGTGAATTATACTTATTGTAGCCTGGGTTATTTTATTGTCAACAAGCACATTTAGATTTACCATGAAGCAGCTTATAGTATTTTGATGAGGCAAAAGTGGGAATTTCATATTTTATATTCTTTTCATTTCTATTGCTTCTATTCACATTTTTTTTATTCTTAATTGGACTGCAAACAATTATAATAGAAGTAATTTATTATTTTAGTATGCAGATTAAAAGTGCCTCTAGTTATGCACAGTAAATAAATGGTTAATGCCTGATATGTATGACAGCTATTTAGCATTTTCACAAGTAGCAATATATAAAGAATAAGTCTTAGCTTGTGATAACTCCTAAACTGTTTTAATACATATTACAGGATACTGTACATGGGGAAAGCTGTGATACCTGTCGACCTGGGTTCTTCCACCTCTCTAGTGCAAACCAGTATGGATGCCTGCAGTGTTGGTGCAGTGATGTCAGCTCCAACTGTTTCTCATCAAATTATTATCGAACACAATTGCCCATGCAACTTCTTACTGATCATGGCTTTACATTTTCCAACCGGTACATATTATAATGATTGCTGCAGAGTGTTTCTTAAAGTTTATATATTAATGGAGGGAAGGGGTAAACGAGGCTTTGCACGCAAGGGGCAAAGACATACAACAGGCATGTGTTAGATTGGAGTGAATGGAGACAAATGGTTTTTGGGACTTGACGAGCTGTTGAAGTGTGAGCAGGGTAATATTTTGCGAAGGGATTCAGGGAAACTGGCTAGCTGGATTTGAATCCTGGAGGTGGGGAGTACAGTGCCTGCACTTTAAAGGAGGGTTTTGGAATATATGCTGTTTGGAGCGACATCTGAACTGTCATATCTGCGTGCCTCTGCAAAAACAATGATTATGTGTGAATGATGCTGAAAGTATTTCTTTCTTTTTTGGATCACCCTGCCTCAATGGGAGATGGCCACCGTGTTGAAAATATGTCATACACAATACCTGCACCTGCATGTATATACTTCATGCACAGTTTAAGGGTTTACATAAAAGTAGTTATGTATTCATGTTCACTTATGCCATAGTTACTACCTTACTACCAAACATTTTTCAAAATCTTTCTTTTTAAGTGCTCAAGTATTACCAGTTACTAAAATTATGTAAGTGTTTATTGCCTTAAGATAGAGAAAGCTGTGAAGCACTTCAGCAGTATTTTATAGGTTGCCATTGTGCATGGCACTAAAATGTGACATCACCTACTTAATTCATATTATTGTCTCTTTACAGGTTGCAGACAAACGTTATCAGAGATAGATTTAGCATCAATGTTGCAAATAACGAAATATCTTTTGCTGATTTTGCCAACCTTCGTGACAGTGAAACGTATTATTGGTCCCTGCCGCAAGTAAGCAGTGAAGTATTTCATAGTTGTAGTAAATATAATTCACAGTTGATATCATTTGGATATTTTAATTGTTATTAGGTTGTGAAATACAAGACAGATTTCTTACCAGTATGTGCATGCTCCCTTCAGATGTTTACAGGAAACCGCCTTCCTTCTTATGGAGGTAATTTGACAATAACTCAGCGATATCAGGCACATCCAGCTGGCAATACCTATGCTGATCCTGATATAATAATTAGAAGTTCAGGTGGCCGTGAATTTATTTGGATGATGTCACGACCTCTTCAACAGAACATCGAACAAACATACAGTGTTGTTCTTACTGAAGACAGCTTCACTATGAATCAACAGCCTGCATCCAGGTATTGCTCAGTATTTGCAAAATATTTTATTATAAGGCGGGGTAGGGGTCGGCCTAGGAAAGGTTGGAGGGAGGGGGTAAAGGAGGTTTTGTGTGCGAGGGGCTTGGACTTCCAGCAGGCATGCGTGAGCATGTTTGATAGGAGTGAATGGAGACAAATGGTTTTTAATACTTGACGTGCTGTTGGAGTGTGAGCAAAGTAACATTTATAAAGGGGTTCAGGGAAACCAGCAGGCCGGACTTGAGTCCTGGAGATGGGAAGTACAGTGCCTGCACTCTGAAGGAGGGGTGTTAATGTTGCAGTTTAAAAACTGTAGTGTAAAGCACCCTTCTGGCAAGACAGTGATGGAGCGAATGATGGTGAAAGTTTTCCTTTTTCGGGCCACCCTGCCTTGGTGGGAATCGGCCAGTGTGATAATAAAAAAAAATAAAAAAAAAAAATATATTAATAACAGGTTGTCATATAAGGTTATTTTTTCTGCCAACTCAAATTTTATTTTGTGGTTAAAGACAGGTGATCAAACACTTTAAAGCATTTTATAATGGATACATTCACTCCAGATACAGTGGACCCCCGCTTTACGATCACCTCCCAATGCGACCAATTATGTAAGTGTATTTATGTAAGTGCGTTTGTACATGTATGTTTGGGGGTCTGAAATCTAATTCACAGTATTCCTTATGGGAACAAATTCATTCAGTACTGGCACCTGAATATACTTCTGGAATGAAATAATATCGTAAACCGGGGGTCCACTGTATTTGGAATGAACAATGTCGCAGAAACAAAATGTACTCATAGAACAATATTTTTTTTTTTTTAAACGGGGTTTGACAAGGTTAGGTTAAGGATCTCTAGCTTTATTGACAAACTATTTACAGGTTAAGGATTCCTGACTTTATTGACAAGCTAAGAGCTGTTACCCACATCAACTCGTTTGAAAGCATTTTTATTGTTATGAGACACACAAGTAGGGAACAGGATGAAGTTGGAGCCATCTGTGGGCCAGCATTTTCATTTGATCAACTGACTTTATCTCGTTGACATCATAATGCTGTACGAATGTGTTCCATACCCGAGTCATCCTGGGGATAAATGATCTCAGATGAAGTGATGTTCTGGAGAAGGGTACAGCCAGAATGAAGCTGCTGCTTTCTGCCCATCTTGTGGTATAGAAGCTTCCTTCACGCTGTCTTCAAAGTGGATCCAAATGTGATACATGACAATATTGGCCTTGTACATAACAGTAAGGCCACCCACATCCCTCTTGTGTGGAAGGCTCTGCTGAAATGACAGATCTATCCAGGATGGGTCCAGGCGAGAGATGAGACGTCTTGCTCTGTTCTCTACACTGTCAAGCAGTAACAGATGGGGGGGGGGGGCAGACAAACCAAGAAAGTGGAGCATACCCAAGGTGTGAGTGTATTTGTGCCTTGTACAGAATCTTGCAACCCCTACTGTCAAGCAGATGCAAGATACGGCTGCCTTGTTTGCAAGATTTACGTGGTTCTTCATGGTCAGTTTGGAGTCAAATTTCACCCCAAAGATATCAACTTCTTCCCTAGGTGCCAACACCCTCCCATTCATCCTTACTACTGCAACGGCATTACCATCAGGGTGCCTAGACACCATCATTTGTGTTTTCTCAGGTGCGAATGTTACTTGCCTTCTGTTTCCCCAGGCTGATATAGCTCTTAGCTGGTGATTGATGTAGCTTAGAGCAGCTGGCATTTCTTCTCTTGGATAAGTGAATGTCAGTGTACAGTTGTCTGCATATGCATGGGATTCTGGGATGAGATGAAGAAGGTCATTGAAGTAGACATTCCATAACAAAAGTCCCAGCACGCTTCCTTGTGGAACGCTTGCCCCAATAGGATGTCCTGCTGATTCCGTTCTATTGAGGATTTCCCCCCTTGATCTACCATGAAGGTAATCACTGAGGAGACATAGCGGAGATCCTGCAATTCTCAGAGCTTGCAGTTTTGCTAAGAGGCCCTGGTGCCACACCCAGTCGAAAGCACCAGCAATGTCCAGTGCTACCACACAGCTGACTTTGGATTCATCCAGGGACTGGTGCCACATAGTGGAGAGGTTTAACAACTGATCAGCAGCAGAGTAACCTTTCCTGAAGCCATATTGACGGTCACAAAGTAGCGAGTGGTAGTCAAAAAACTCTGTCATTTGTCTTGAGATTATTGTCTCAAGGGTCTTGCCAGTGATTGACAGCAGTGACACTGGTCTGTAGTTGCTGATTTCTGCTCTGCTCTTCTTTTTGTGAACACGGACTACATTTGCCACTTTCCATGGAGAAGGCCATTTACACTGTAGTAGGCAGTGCTGAAAGATGCGAGTTAGAGGTGCTGCTAGCTAGTCTGCACATCTCAGCAATCTTGGGCTCAACTTGTCAGGGTCCACAGCCTTTTCTTGGTCAAGCGATTTAAGAAGGAAATGTACCTCCTCCTGCCTTATTGTCACCTCTGACAGTTTTGACATAGTTCTTGCAGCTAGCCAAGGAGGGTCCCTTGCTGGATCAGGAACTTCCATTTTGGTAGCGAAGTGTTCAGCAAAGAGGTCCGCCTTCTCTTGACTACTAGTAGAGGTGGTCCCATCCTGTCAATTTAGAGGTGGAATGAGTTCATCAGGCAGATAACCTTGTCTGTCCTTGACCAGGGACTACCAGGTTTTGGAGCCTACTCTACCTGATGCTAGCTTTCTTTTTGTGTCCACCTCCCATTTAGCGATGGCCCACTTTTGAACATCACCCATATGCCTACAGGCTTGATTGTGCAAGTTCCTGTTGTAGGTGATAGGATATCTCTTATACCTTCGCCATGCCTTGTACTTAGCAGTAGCAGCCTCTCTACAACAAAAGCCAAACCAAGGCTGATCTGTAGGCTTCATCACATATTGCCAGTGAGGGATGTGTTTGTGTTGTAGATTAAGGATGTGTCTGAAGTGTTGGCTCAGGTGTTTTTAACCTCATCTTGTTTGCATCACATACAAGGTTTTCAACTTTATTCTTATTATATATCCCACCACATATAGTTGCAATTACATTTTACAATAGACTATTACAGTTTGCTGTACCTCAAATCGTGTTGCCAGTATATTGTGATTGAAATTTTGTTCCCCAGATCACATTTTGCAGGAAAGTGACTGCCTAGTCTGTCATAAAATTTGAGGAAAATCACTTTTTGTGTGAAATACTGATTGATTTCCCAGTGGGATATTTCTTCTCTACACTTAATCCAACATACTTTGGTAAATAAATTGATAACATGCACATTGCCCTGCACTCTGTGCTGGAACCAAACTAGAAATGTAATACTGTATTTATAAAGAAATGCAAAATACCACTAGCAGAAGTGCTCAGTGTACTTTGGAGAAAGAGTATAGATAAGTGAAATTCCAGAGGCTTAATTATAGTAAATATAGTAGCACTTTACAAAGGTGTTTGTAGAATAATCTGAAAATGTTAACAGCGACATGAAAAAAAAATAATTTAAAAGAAGAATATATAATTAAATGAGAATGTATAGAAGAGTACAGAGGATACTGAATTATACATTCTCTTATAATGTGCACCTCAGGAGATGTGCTTGGTATTATACTCACCCCAAGATCTCTTTCCTTGAGTGAGGTTTGCAGTCTTCGGCCACCTAGCCTATACTTCATCCGCAGTCTTCTTTGCTCTTCCCTGATCTTCTTGACTTTGCATTTGGTGGGGTTAAATTCTAGAAGCCAGTTGCTGGACCAGGCTTGTAGCCTGTCTAGGTCTCTTTGTAGTCCTGTCTGATCCTCATTATTTTTTTTTTTCCATGTCACTGTTAACATTTTCAGAATACTGAATTCTAAATATGATTTAAAACAGAATAATTTATATTAGATTTTCTTTGTTTATTTTTATATGCACTTCAATTTTCTTGTATGTATTTTATTTTTGAAATATATTAAAAAAGTATAGATTTATTTTTCTTCTAAATGATATCATCTACTTAGGTCAGAATTTCTGAATGCTCTGTCATTTGTGGATGCCATCCTTATCCGGGCCACCCTAAGTGATAGAATGAGTGCCACTTTCTTACGAGATGTCATTATGGATACTGCAATGCCTTCTCAGACTGGTCAGCCTCGGGCACTAGAAGTTGAACAGTGTCAGTGCCCAAGTGAATACAGTGGATTATCCTGTCAGGTAAATATTCTTGCATTGTAAAAATATTTCATTTTGAAATATTAAATTATTAATTTATTATTGAAGTTATACAGTACTGTATATTCATTGTAGTATGTGGTAACTAATGCAGTAAACTCTTGATATAACGAACTAATAGATGGTGTTCATTATGCAGGAGGGCCCCACTTATATAGCAAGTTAGGTTCTAGGCTACCACTGTTCAGTGAAAATCACTGTAAAGTGAATCATAGCATTTTTTTTTTTTACTTTCAAATGTAAATAAAACCATCATAAAATGTTTACATTATTATATATTAAGTGAGCAATATTTTTTTTTTTCATCATGCCTGCTGTCTACCATCGAGGTAGGGTGACCCAAAAAAAGAAACACTTTCACCATCATTCAGCACTTTCATCATCATTCACACATAATCATTGTCTTTGCAGAGGCACCCAGATATGACAATTTAGATGTCACTCCAAACAGCCAATATCCCAAGCCCCTCCTTTAAAGTGTAGGCAATGTACTTCCCACCTCCAGGACTCAAGTCCAGCTAACCAGTTTCTCTGTATTGCTTCACAAAATGTTACCCTGCTCACACTCCAACAGCTCATTTAGTCCTTAAAAACCATTCGTCTTCCATTCACTCCTATCTAACACACTCACACATGCCTGCTGCACATCCAGGCCCCTTGCACACAAAACCTCTTATATCCCCTCTCTCCATCCTTTCCTAGGATGATCTCTCCTTCATTACAGATTTATACACTCTCCCAGTCAATCTATTTTGCTCCACCCTTTAAATAACCAAACCTCCTCAATAACCCCTCTTCAGCCCTTTGAAAAATACTTTTATTAACTCCAAATTTCCCACACTAGGAATTCTCTGCATAATATTTACACCACACACTGCCCTTAGACACGACATCTCCACTGCTTCCAGCCTTTCTCACTGTGGCATTCACAACCCATGCTTCACACTCATATAAGAGTGTTGGTACCACTATACTCTTGTGCATTCCCTTCTTTGCCTCCACGGATAACATTTTTTTTGTCTCCACAGATGCTTCAATTCACCACTCACCTTTTTTCCTTCATCAGTTCTATGGTTAACCTTTCATCATCATTCAACACTTTCACCTCACTCACAAATAATCACTGTTTTTGCAGAGGTGCCCAGAATACAGCAGTTTAGAAGTATATATGTATAAAAATACACAATATATCCCTCCAAACTGCCAATATCCCAAACCCCTCCTTTAGAGTGCAGGCATTGTACTTTCCATTTCCAGGACTCAAGTCCGGTTATATAAAATAACCGGTTTCCCTAAATCCCTTCACCTTATCCTTCATAAACCCATCTGCTGACAAATCTACTCCCTAATGTCTAAACACATTTACTTCTTCCATACTCCTTCCGTCCCTCCAATATGATATCCAGTTTTTCTTTACCTAACTCGTTTGATACCCTCATCACCTTTCTTTTAAATTTAAACATTGAAAAAAAAACAAGCTAAAAGTACGATTTACCCAGTGGATTTTGCCCATAATTTTAGAAGTCCATTATATCAGGGTCATTTATAATGAGGGTTTACTGTATGTAGAAAGAAGTGAGCAAGATAAGTCTCTTTAGAAGTATGAGTATATCTCTGATTAATTTTGTTAATGTAATTGATTGTGTGCCACTTGATAAAAACAGAATTGAATAATAGAGCCTCAAATATCAACACTTCAATTTTTGACCAGTGGTGGATTTGGTTAAAACCCCTTATATTCAACTATATGGAATCAAGACACCAGAGTCTTCTTTTTTATCACACACTTTTTTAGAAAAAATTTTACATTTTGATTAAATTTTAATACTGCTGTTTTCATGGTCCCTCTAATAGGACTTAAGCATGTAAAAGAATTATATCTGCACACTCGCCATGGTATTATATTTTTCGTCAGCATTATGGAGTGTGTGATGCTTCAGTAGTATTTACATAGTAGCATTTTATTTAAAAAATGATAGAGCTCATGAGATTTCACATGTATAAATTAAATATTTGAAGTGTGGTATACTACAAAAGTAGAATCAATTTAGTGTATAACATTGAAAGGCAGTGTGAGAGTGGAAAAGAAACAATATGAGAGCAAATGGATCCACTAAGACTTGCTTACAATTTTTCATGCTCAGCATAGACAAGCTACTTAGTGTACTGAGTTGCCAAACAAAATTAATTTTATTGATATTAGATTTCTAAAATTTTTATGTATTAATTGATAAAAAGTAATATATTCATGAGAATAAACATGATTTGTTACAGTACAAGTTTTGAAAAAAATCTGGAAAAACTATTAGTACTGGCTATAAAGAATATACAGTAGACCCTTGACCAACGGCTTTAATCTGTTCCAGAGAGCTAACCTTTAGTCGAATTAGCCGTTAATTGAATTAATTTTCCCCATAAGAAATAATGGAAATCCAATTAATCTGTTCCAGACAGCCAAAAGTATTAAAAAAAAAAAATATTTTCTACATGAAATGTACATTTCCCTACACAGAAAACAATGAGGCATGCCCAATACATACATAAATAAATACTAAAATGACACTTACCTTTATTGAAGAGTGTTGTTGAGTGATGAGACACTGTTTTTCTTGAACACTGGGATTTTCACAGTGATACATGTGTAAAGGCTTCACTTTGCAATCCCTACTAGCATTACAAAAAAACATGAGAGTTAGCCTGTCTTTCATAAGCTTGTGTCCTGGGAGTGCCTTTTCCTCCTGAGTAATGAGTAATGTAGGTCCTGTTTGGCATTTTCTTCCAGAACATGCCTGTTTCGTCACAATTAACACTTGTTGGGGTTGGAATTTTTCAGCTTTGCCATGCTTTATCACACTGTATGCCACTACGATTCTTAAATCTCTCAAACCAACCTTTGCTGGCCTTAAGTTCACCAATATGAGCACTAGTTCCAGGCATTTTTTCCTGTTAACCTGGGTATTTGTCGACTGGTGTGGGTTGCATCCTGGGGGACAAGATTAGGAAATAAGTTAGATAGTCCTTGATGACACACTGACTTTCTTGGGTTATCCTGGGTGGCTAACCCTCTGGGGTTAATTGTTTCTCAGTATTCTCGATCAGCCACACCAACAACAGTCTCTCCACATCTTCAAGTAGTACAGCTGATGGTGGTGCAGCAACAGCTGACCGTGGTACGATAGTATTTTGATAGTATTTCTCACCCTTTTAACCACAGGGTTAGTGCTAGAAGCTTTCTTGGGGCCCATGGTGGCTTATTTAGCAGTTACAAGCACTAAAAACACTGGAATACTACGAAGTATACCACAGGTACACATGGAATCGACCGCAATGGCTTGTAAACATTGGCACACTGAGTCTTGGAGTGGCTAGGCCCGCTCAGGCTGCACTCCAGCTGCAGGGACACATTCGGGATGAAAGCCATTTGATGAGTTTTTCGCCATTGGTAGAGCCATTTTTTTTTACGCCTAAGAGCACCATTAGATGAATTTGCCATTAGTCGATGCCGCCGTTGGTCGGGGGTCCACTATATCTATATGAGAGGAAAGTCTGGTTTATAAATTACTTCTCACACTATATTAGTAATTACAGGTACCATAAATATTGCTTGCTAATTAATTACCTTATTGCATTTGATATTTGTAATAATTTAAGTATATTTAACAGCAATGTAGACGTGGCTATTACCGAGATTCTGCAACAAAACGGTGTCTTCTGTGCCCTTGTAATGGACATGAAGACTCGTGTGTCCAACTTGCAAGTGGCAATGTTAGGTGTGACTGCTTGCAAGGATATTATGGACCCTTCTGTAGGGAATCAGGTATGAATATATTCTATTAGAGTTATTGTTTGTAATATTTCTTACTGCTAGTATAGCATATTTTGTCAAAATATTCCTCAGTACAACCGGATGGAGATCCAGACTTGTAAGATGCATCATTCCATGCACATGATACTTGGCAGCTTTAAATAATATTGTATCTTATTCAGAACTTAACAGGTAATTTTTGTGGAGAAGGCACATAATTTTTTATACAATAAACAGGAAGACTTAACTTTGTGTTACATTATAAATAATTTATATTATTCATTTTCCTTTTATTGTATTTACTGTACATATTTGGAAATTGGATTATTTATCATTCTCATAATTGTGCCTTTTCCTTTATATTACATGGGATGCTAAAAGCTCTCTTAATATACACAGTTATGAGCTTGTAAAAGTAGATAGTGCATGTTTAACTTTTGCATGAATCTTTTTGTAGATGATTTAAAGTATTAATTTCTTAAATTATTTAAAGGATCAAAAGAAAGGAATTTTTGTAGATTACCTTCATAGATTATTGAGAGTATTAAATAAAAGGACTTTCTTGTTTTCCTGAATATACACTTAGTGTCAAAATTATATTATGTATAATATTTATGACACTGTAGTCTAATAATGCAACAAAAGAATACTGGTAATTATATTCTCTATACAGTACCTTTTATTACTTGCATAAAAATACAAGATAGAGAAGGATATTTTCATATTTATTCTAAATCTTTGAGTCTAAAAAAATTATTTGATAATTTGTGTACCAGTAGTTTCTCTCTTGAGGCAAAGAAAAATAAAGTAAAAAAATCTCTTAATCTTGCTTATTTTATAACTCTTGCTAAACCATGGATTCCCTTTCATACCTTGAACATGATATTAGTGAAAAATAGATAAAAATAAAGTTTAGGGATCCTTAAGGAAATTTGCTCATATAGACTACATTTTCATTTTCACATTAATTTCCCACCAAAGCAGGGTGACATTAAATTATAATACTCTGATGCTGAAGCACAGAGAAATGGTGTTTTCTACAGATATATTATCAGTTGTGCTGTATACACTTGATAAAGCTGTAATAAAAATTAATCATGGGATTGCTACCTTTGAAGCTATGACTCTGTATGTAGATGACTTATTCACTTACTGTACCTAAATTTAATTTGTAAATACAGTAGCATAATGTCATCTACAAATCAGCATCAATAAAATTGACAAATTAACCTGAGTGAATGTCTTTTGTGTTGTAACCAAAGCAGTATGGATAACATTTACCTGAAACAAAAGAAATTTTCAACCATGTCTTAATTTTGCATAAATCCTCCATCTAACATGTTGAGGAAACCTGTTTTATTCTTGGCATGATCTTTGATCGTTTTATTTGGATTTCCCACATAAAGGAGCTTAAATGGTTCTGCCTGGAAACTCATTTGCACACAAAATGTGGTGCATCCATACCTCATCCTCTACACTTGTAATAAGTAATTAATCCAGTCTAACAAAAAGTTTTAGCTGCCAAATATATTCACCAACGTCATCATCTTGCCATAGCATCATTAATCTGGTTCATAATCAAGGACAAAGCTTGCTATAGAATTGGTGAGTGATGCCCAACTTGTATCATTGATCATACTAAGTAGTTGTTGTACCTTCCCTCCATTGTTCAAACCCCAATCCAGGCATTGCTACTATTTGGAAAAAGCTGCTTAAATCACCCATAACCCATACTGCATACTGTTTTAAAACAATCTGCAACATCCTTTGCAAGAACTGGTAAGAGTGGAACTCATTGAGGACACAGCAAATTTCCAAGCAAATGTAAACTAAATCTTCCAGGGTGCCACAGAAAATAATAAACAAAATTCACCTACTCTAGTGTGAAAGAATGAGGGATAAAAATTGGAACTGAGTACAAATTCAAATTACTTCACAGAGTGTTAAAAGAATGTATGGGAGCTGGAGGATAACCATACTGGAGGATCTTAAATTAAAAAAAAATGCAATAGTATTACTGTCACAGTTGCAAGGAAAATTTAAGCTATATCTGATATTCAAGGTTCACAGTAGTGTTGTCACAGTTGCAAGGATAATGATATGTTGGATAACAAAAAGCTTTAAAACAAGAGGTGCCAAGCCAATGATGGTACACTTTACATTTTAAGACACTTGTTTTCTCTAGACTGGAATATACTATACTAACAGCCCCATTTAAATTATTTTTTATTAACACATCAGCCATTTCCCACCAAGGCAGGGTGGCCCAATTGAAAATATGCAAAAGAAACTGGTTCCATATTTGCACAGTAAAATTACTTAGGAGAGCAGGAAACATGGCAGATAGTATAAAATACCTTCAGTAAAAACAAGAATGCATTAAGTATATTAAGACAAAATTTAAGTAAAAGTTTAAGGCTGTTCACTACCCTTGCTACAGTTATAATGGAAATTACCAGTAGACCTCAACCAGTGGCTTCAAAGCAACTTTCCTAGCTTTTTCACCACACCACAAACAATTTACATTATAAATTTATTACAACAATGCAGTATTCTACATAATAGTTGTGAATAGAGAAGGGTATAGAGTACAGACCATACCATGAGTGGGGTTAGAACCTGTGATCAGAGAGTCATAAACTCCAGACCATTACATAAGCCACTGGGTCAGCTTCTGGCCCAGTGGCTTATGCGACCGTCTGGAGTTTTATGACTCTGATTGTGGGTTCTAACCCTACCCGTGGTATAGTTTGTTTGTAATCATATCATTACAATTTCATGGGTCATGGTACAGAGTTGTCAAGGTTTAACTTCATGCCACTTATAGAAGGCAGGGTAACATCTAAAGTAGGCACAGGCAAGGAGCTATCATCATCAAATAGCTCCAGTGGAGGTGTACAGGTTGAAGGGCTAGTGGGATGGATGAAGGAGACTGTAACATGGGGCACTGCTTTAACCATTAATGCTTCTGAGCATACACCTTAGAGGTGTATGCTTAGAAGCATACACACTAAGGCTGTTGTTTACTTGGTGCTTGAATTTCAGGAGTTTCTTCAGGCAAGAGTTTATATCCATGACAAATTGGAAAAGCCTCTTAGTTTGTACAAAAAATTCTGCATAATCAGGCTCTTTACATTAAGAAGCACTTCATCCCCTTCTTGATCTACAGCTATAGTAATCTCAGTCAGTTTTTTTTTTTTTTTTTTTTGACACACCACCAGTTTCCCACCAAGGTAGAGTGACTCGAAATATCCCCAGGCCGCCTTCAGAGTGCAGGCACTGTACTTCCCATCTTCAGGACTCAAGTCTGGCTAACTGGTTTCCCTAATCCCTTCATAGCAAGTCAGGTCATAAAAAATCGCTTACTCCGCTCACTCCTGTTTAATATATTCACACATACTTGCTGGATGTCCAAGCACACAAAAACCTTGTTTACTCTCCTCCCTCCAACCTATCCTTGGATGACCCCTACCCCGCTTTCAGTTACAGATTTATATGCCCTCTGAGTCATATTTTGATTCATAATAAGAATAATAATAATAATATCTTTATTTCTACAAGTACATGTCCAAGGTATAGAGGCCTAGCTGACATCAATGACATACAGGTACCATTCGACTTACGACTGAGTTCGGTTCCGACAAACCAGTCGTGTGGCTAACGCGACGGGCTGGAGTTTTGAGACTCTCTGACCGCGGGTTCAATCCCGGCCGGGGTATGGTTTGTTTGCAATCGTGTCATTACGATTTCGTGAGTCGAGTTAAGTCGAAATGGACGTAAGTCGAACCTTACTACTGAATATCAACATCACATTTTTGTAATGACTTTATTTTATTGTTTTATTTTGGTATTTCATTTTTTACTTTACTTTTTATGCTGTTAGTACTGTATTTTATACTGTAAGGTTTAGGATAAACACTGTGTACAACACAAGCAGTTGTTTATTTCCGAGAAATTTGGCATAGAAAACATGGTCGTATGTCAAGCAGGTCGTAAGTCGGATGGTAGGTGTACTACTATATAGAAAGCCGCTTGTTATGTAGAGCATTTTGGGCAAATTAGGTCAGTTTTGTCCCAGGATGCGACCCACACCAGTCAACTAACACCCAGGTACCCATTTTACTGATTGGGAACATAGACAACTGGCATAAGGAAGCACTCCCAATGTTTCTATCCTTGCTGGGAATCGAATCCGGACCCTCGCTGTGTGAAGCGAGAGCTTTAGCCACCAGGCCACTTCAATAGCCCTTTTTCAGCCCTCTGGATAATACTTTTAGAAACCTCACACCTCCTTCCAGTCTCCAAGCTACAAATTCTCTGCATAATATTTACACCACACATTGCTGTAAGACATGATATCTCCACTGCCTCCAGCCTCCTCCTTACTGCAACATTCACAACCCATGCTTCACACCCATATAAGAGCATTGGTACTACTATACTTTCATATATTTTCCTTTTTGCCTCAATGCGCCATTCACCTTTGTTCCCTCATCAGTTCTACAGCTCATCTTGTCTTAAGTAGAACCATCTGCCAATAAGTCCACTCCCAAATATTTGAACACATCACTTCCTCCATACTCCTTCCCTCCCAGCCAGACTGTCACATTTAATTCTTCATTGGAAGCCAGTAAGTTCCATAAGATCTTCCTCCTCAAGATCTGAGAAACTTCTCGTGTTCCATCTTAGCTTAACAACCTTGCACAGATTTTGGACAATTTTAGGAAGCCCTTGAAGTGAGAGTCTTCCCAAAGGGACTTCTAAGCACCATTTAGAGTAGAAGGCTTTACTTTGTCCCAAGTATATGTATTTACACAGTTAGTGCAGTGCCAGTACAGTGCAGGGGGAGGGGGTAAAGGAGGTTTTGTGTACAAGGGGCTTGGACTTTCAGCAAGTGTGTGTGAGTGTGTTAGATAGGAGCAAATGGTTTTTAGGACTTGACATGTTGTTGGAGGGTAAGCAAGGCAACATTTATGAAGGGATTCTGGGAAACTGGCAGGCTGGACTTGATTCCTGGAGATGGGAAGTACATTGCCAGCACTCTGAAGGAGGGGTGTTAATGTTGCAGTTTTATAACTATAGTGTCAGCATGCATCTGGCAAGACAGTGATGGAGCGAATGATGACGATGAGAGTTTTTCTTTTTCGGGCCACCCTGCCATGGTGGGAAATAGCCAATGTGTTAATAAAAATAATAATAAATATAATGTATATAAAATACAAAATTAATCCCTCAGTATTTGTAAATTATAAAGGCAAAGGAGACAAAAGAGAGTGCAAAAATTATAGGAGGATAAGTCTGTCTAAGGGCAATGTGTGGTGTAAATATTATGCAGAAAATTCGGAGTGAGGAAATTAGGAGAAGGTGTGGAGTTAATAAAAGCATTAGTCAGAGGGCAGAAGAGGGGTTGTTGAGGTGGTTTGGTCATTTAGAGAGAATGGATCAAAGTAGAATGACATGGAGAGCATATAAATCTATAGGGGAAGGAAGGAGGGGTAGGGGTCGTCCTCGAAAGGGTTGGAAAGAGGGGGTAAAGGAGGTTTTGTGGGCAAGGGGCTTGGACTTCCAGCAAGCGTGCATGAGCATGTTAGATAGGAGTGAATGGAGACGAATGATACTTGGGACCTGACGATCTGTTGGAGTGTGAGCAGGGTAATATTTAGTGAAGGGATTCAGGGAAACCGGTTATTTTCATATAGTCGGACTTGAGTCCTGGAAATGGGAAGTACAATGCCTGCACTTTAAAGGAGGGGTTTGGGATATTGGCAGTTTGGAGGGATATGTTGTGTATCTTTATACGTATATGCTTCTAAACTGTTGTATTCTGAGCACCTCTACAAAAGCAGTGATAATGTGTGAGTGTGGTGAAAGTGTTGAATGATGATGAAAGTATTTTCTTTTTGGGGATTTTCTTTCTTTTTTGGGTCACCCTGCCTCGGTGGGAGACGGCCGACTAGTTAAAAAAAAAAAAAAAAAAAGTCTGTTGAGTATACCTGGTAAAGTGTATGGTAGAGTTATTATTGAAAGAATTAAGAGTAAGACGGAGAATAGGATAGCAGCTGAACAAGGAGGCTTTAGGAAAGGTAGGGGGTGTGTGGACCAGGTGTTTACAGTGAAACATATAAGTGAACAGTATTTAGATAAGGCTAAAGAGGTTTTTGTGGCATTTATGGATTTGGAAAAGGTGTATGACAGGGTAGATAGGGGGGGCAATGTGGCAGATGTTGCAGGTGTATGGTATAGGAGGCAGGTTACAGAAAGCAGTGAAGTTTTTACGAGGATAGTGAGGCTCAAGTTAGAGAATGTAGGAAAGAGGGAGATTATTTCCCAGTAAAGGTAGGCCTTAGACAAGGATGTGTGATGTCACCGTGGTTGTTTTAATATATTTATAGATGGGGTTGTAAGAGAAGTAAATGCGAGGGTCTTGGCAAGAGGCGTGGAGTTAAAAGATAAAGAATCACACATAAAGTGGGAGTTGTCACAGTTGCTCTTTGCTGATGACACTGTGCTCTTGGGAGATTCTGAAGAGAAGTTGCAGAGGTTGGTGGATGAATTTGGTAGGGTATGTAAAAGAAGAAAATTAAAAGTGAATACAGGAAAGATTAAGGTTATGAGGATAAAAAGATTAGGTGATGAAAGATTGGATATTAAATTGGAGGGAGAGAGTATGGAGGAGGTGAATGTATTCAGATATTTGGGAGTGGACGTGTCAGCGGATGGGTCTATGAAAGATGAGGTGAATCATAGAATTGATGAGGGAAAAAGGGTGAGTGGTGCACTTAGGAGTCTGTGAAGACAAAGAACTTGGTCCTTGGAGGCAAAGAAGGGGATGTATGAGAGTATAGTTTTACCAACGCTCTTATATGGTTGTGAAGCATGGGTGATGAATGTTGCAGTGAGGAGAAGGCTGGAGGCAGTGGAGATGTCATGTCTGAGGGCAATGTGTGGCGTGAATATAATGCAGAGAATTCGTAGTTTGGAAGTTAGGAGGAGGTGCGGGATTGCCAAAACTGTTGTCCAGAGGGCTGAGGAAGGGTTGTTGAGGTGGTTCGGACATGTAGAGAGAATGGAGCGAAACAGAATGACTTCAAGAGTGTATCAGTTTGTAGTGGAAGGAAGGCGAGGTAGGGGTTGGCCTAGGAAAACTTGGAGGGAGGGGGTAAAGGAGGTTTTGTGTGCGAGGGGCTTGGACTTCCAGCGGGCATGCGTGAGCTTGTTTGATAGGAGTGAATGGAGACAAATCGTTTTTAATACTTGACGTGCTGTTGGAGTGTGAGCAAAGTAATATTTATGAGGGGATTCAGGGAAACCGGGAGGCCCGACTTGAGTCCTGGAGATGGGAAGTACAGTGCCTGCACTCTGAAGGAGGGGTGTTAATGTTGCAGTTTAAAAACTGTAGTGTAAAGCACCCTTCTGGCAAGACAGTGATGGAGTGAATGATGGTGAAAGTTTTTCTTTTTCGGGCCACCCTGCCTTGGTGGGAATCGGCCAGTGTGCTAATAAGAAAAAAAAATATTTGTAAATTCACCAATCTAAATATTTTTTTGTGTCCAGCTGCTAGTTATCTCCGGTTAGGTTTACTGGTCTGCAACTTGTGTATATATAGTGTTACGGCATTATTTGCAATCTTGGTTTATTGAACTGAATTTTTTCTTTAGTTAATATTTAAAGATAGTTACTTCGTATACTTTGGATTACAGTGTTTAAAAATATTATTATTTTATTATTATTGTTAGTCATTCTTACTTGCAATCTGGATGTGGTAAATCTCTCATGCAGTGTTATGCAACAGCTATTGTGCATGGTATTGGGGCTTATACCAATCATTTATTGTTTTATCAGCCATTATTCTTCATAACATTTTGACACTTATAATGATTATTATAACTATACCTCATTTTTTCACAGATTATGAAAGGTGTGGCAATTGCATGTGCAGTATTTTGTTGTATAATGAAGTTAATGTAGACTTAACAGGAACATTTAAATTTTTGTATTTTATCTTTCATTGTCTGAATGTGATTTCAATTTGTACCAAGCTTTAATATCAGTTTGTATGCAAATTTAACTTTTTCTTACAACAATTAAATGCGATACTTTTTGAAGCTCACTTATACTCATTGCCAAATTACGAATGTTTGAATTTGATCTGACAGCTGTGATACAAGATATAATGCATGCAGTGCCACATCATAAGAGTATGATATAATGCAATGAATTTTCCTAACTAACACATCTATATTAAACCAGCTTTAAGAGCATAAACTTTCATGAATATATAAATGGAATTTTAACTTGCAATTATAAAATTTTACTAAATACAATTTTAGAATTTAAATTTATTATGTTAGAGTAATGATATATTTTTTATTTGGGAAACACCAAACCCATATAGATCATATATCTCCTGAGGAATGGGAAGCAATCAGGTTCACTCCAAAGAAAGGGAGGATAAATCCATTTCTTTGGCTCAAGAACCCCTCATTATTCTGTGAAGGAATAGTTATGAGAATTGAACATTGTAAAGTGGCTCTAGTTCTCAGTCTTACACTCATATATTTCTTATACATCTTTATCATCCTGGTTTATCTTATAAATAGATTTCCACTTATTATCTGACTATTTTAAGTTTATGCTCTTAGAGTAAATATGCTATTGATGGAATGGGGGCACATTAATTAATTTAATTTAGTTTACCTTCTCTTCTAATAGTTGCATTATACACCAGTAACTAAAACAGCATGATTTTCCTGTGCAAAGGCTTGGGCTTCTTGATTGCATGAATGTTGCATGTCTGTAGGTCTGATGCTCGAGCTTAGGCCCATCAAGGTACTCTTCAACCGAAATGCTCGTGAAGTTTATGAAAACTTCACATGCTCATATCACTCATCAGAGCCACTTCGAATCACTTTTACACGTGAACCAACTTTGGTTGAGGATGGTACTCCTGTAGCTCTCATGGACACCCAGGCTCCACATAGTACTGAGGAGTATACCAATGGGGCAAAGCACTTCTCAGTTCTTCGCCTCCTCAATGGCCATAGGACTGTCACTTGCCATGTTTATGATGCAGATAACATGGAAGTGGCCCAGATGGTCTCACAAATTATGTATGTTGGTCATATCCGGAGATCACGTAAGTCAATCATCTGTTATATGTAATTTTCCTCACAGTATAAAAATGTAATTATATATATAGTATCTGATTTTTTTTTTTGATAACATGAAAGAATTTTTGAGGAAAGTTTCCAGGAGTGCAATACATTTAAAATATTGAGTAGGTATCCAACACTTTAGAAGGCAAAGTAAAATATATAAGAAAATCATATTGAGATATAGCTGCTCAAAGTTACATCTTTCATGGCCACTTCCCATAAAGCAGAGGTCGATGAACTATTTTTGGGTATTGCCCCAAAACAAATTTGTGTACAGCAAAATTCCCCATTAGACTTGAAAGTCCACAGAATCCAGAAAATACAAGGAGCATTCAAATTCATTTTCTGTCCTTTGGTTTATTTGCTGCCATCTGAAGGGTAAAAGTGAAGATGATGGAAAACAGATGGATAATATGATTTTACCATATTATATAACTTTAAAATTGTTACTCATAAAGACTGGGTTACAAAAAAAGAAATCACGAAAAATAGAATGGAATGTAAAATTAATAGAAAACTGCCAAACATTTATATTATTATATGAGCACTTTCAGATATCTATAACTGGAGTCATAAATTCTAATAAAAAAATAAAATACTGTATAAATAAATATTACGTTGTACACTCCTAATTGTTGTGACAAATCACGAAACACTAACTTAGTCATCGAAAGTCGTAAACCTACTAACATAAACAATGCACTTTGTTGACTGCAAGCAGAGACAGTTATTGATAATGAGATAGGACACCAGGCCAAAAGTCATGTGCTGGTGGTGTCGACAATGGAATGTGCAGTTGTCATGCTGGCTCCCGAGTCAATGCTAACACTTGGGGTGTTGCCAGCAGCTGGAATCCTTACCCATTTTACACTATTGCCAACTTAAGAAATGATCTCTACAAATTAGATTTTTAATATTATTAAGAAACTATAAATTATTTGTTTGAAAAATATAACTTTCCATAATTTGCCTCAATTTTAAATAATAAATTTCTGTGCAATTTTATTTATATTTTATTGAGCCTTCATTATCCTCAAAATTCTTATTTTTACCCCACTTGGAGTAATTTACCCTGGTTCCCTGACCTCTGCCGTAAAGGGGAGATCTTATAGTTTAGATTTGTATTAATCATCATTTAATCTAGCAAATTATAAATGATTAATATTTTTTCTGTTTGATAATCTTCATTTTTCTTTTCTGCTAATGTAATTTCTGTGCTATATTGACCCTTTTTTATTACTATTCTGGAATGGCATTCTTATTCCAAATTAATCATGCTCTTCTCATTTTGTCAAAATAATTGTTTTGTTACTTAATATTGTTTGTTTACAAAAGTCAGTGCAGTATGAAAAGTAGCATTACATGAAGCAAAGAATATATGGGAAAGATAAGGTTACTTTCTCAAAATATTATTTCTATATTGATAATATAACAGGCAGCAGCTGGTGGAAAACTTGCTTGTACATCTTCTCTCCTTTTATTAGATAACTAAATAAACACTGCTTTGAGTTTCCCAACGAAATGTAGGGTCCTCCTCCCTTCTTTTTCTTCTTTTTCCTCATTTTCCTTGCTCTTTCTTGCTATTACTTACTCTTGTTCCTCTTTCATCCTTCCTTTCTGCTCCCCCTTTCTTCCTCCTCCCCCTACTCCTTCCTTTTCTCTTCCCCTTTTTCCTCTGTCTTTTCTCCTCCTACTCTTCTTCCCCTTCTCTTTCCTCTTGCTCTTATTTCTGCACCGACATCGTCCTGCTCCTCCTTCCTCCTGCTCTTCTCTTCCTTTGTTTTCCTTGTTAGTTAATAATACTTATGAATAAATTTAACCCTCTGACTGTTTTTGTTGTATGTATATGTCTTATGAGCCAGTATTTTTAATGTATTAGTACGCCAAAATTCTAGCGGCTTCAAATCAAGTGGGAGAAAGCTGGTAGGCCTACATGTGAGAGAATGGGTCTGTGTGGTCAGTGTGCGCAGTATAAAAAAATCCTGCAGCATACAGTGCATAATGAGAAAAAAAAAAACTCCGACTTTGTTTTGGGATTAAAATGTCGAATTTGAGGTGTATTTTTGTATAGTATTTATGATTATATTCTCATTTTCTTGGTCTCATTTGATAGAATGGAAGACATATTACAGAAATGGAGATGATTTTGATTGGTTTCACGATGAAAAGGACCTTGAAATTGAGCTCAAAGTAGCAGAAATTTTTTATTTTTGCCGATGTTCAAGTGTAAACAAATGACGTCACCTTCCAATGTGTCCAGCTGGCCAGTCTAATACGCAGTCATGAATGGGCTGATATTATTTATACAATTATTACAATAATGCAGTAGTCTGCATAACAGTAAATCTTCTATTTCTTTGTGAGAATAAAAATTCAAAATAGAAAGCAAGAGTAATATGAGAGGGGCCTGGAGACATGACTAATGAACAGAGAAAATGTTATTTTAGTGCCAGGAATATCTGCATTGTTTATTCTGGACTCTATTTTGAAATTGGCATCTTTTTTAATTTGCATGCAATTGGCAAAATTGCCAATTTCTGATTGCTTTATTGGGTAGTTGTAATCGGTAAATGGGTGGTTTCTTGTACTCAATCGATAGAACAAATGGAACAATGGAATTGGCCAAAAATAGGGCTCAAATTGGGTGAAATCGCTGATGCATATATATTGCCGAGATTGCTAACTTCGTGAGAGTGTAATTCCATAAGGTTTCCATCAGATTTCGCACTTTTGGTGTCATTACTATCGGGAAAAAGATTCTCTGTCATTTCATATGAAAAATTATTTTTGTTTTTTTTTTGAATATTTTGCAACACAGACACACTTCAGGATTTGGGGTCATAACAGTCAAAGGGTTAATAATGATGCAGAGTATAATAGATCGTTTTGTGTTGTTATTTAGAGCCACCAACAGTAGGAAGTAGTGAGCCGACCATCAGTGTGACCATCTCCGAGCCCAGGCTCCAGATTGCTGCCCTGGGTTCAACTGTGCAGTTCCACTGTTCAGCGCGATCTCTCACAGGACAGCAGGTTAGTTTTCTCAAAGAGTCAAGTATGGTATAGTGTAAAAATTATGATTATTCATTTTTTAAATATGTCGTAGATCATCAGTTTTTTGGTGACTTACTATTTGGTCTTCAACATTATGTGGTAGTCTTTGTTATAGAGAGCAGCCTAACACACAGTGTGGAAATGGAGCGTGCAGACAATAGGAACTATTAAAATGCTATTGTGTTTATCTCTTTATTTGAAAATTTAGCTCATTCAACCCATATGGCACCAGACAATTGATAATCTGTATACTGCATTATACTAAATGTTTTAATTCAGAGGCATTATATATATTGGTTAATAACATAAAAGGGCTAGAATACCACATATACTGATGAACATTTACATAATATAACAATTGACCTATGAGACCTATTACCAGGGGGAAAGGTAGATGTTATCAGTTTAAGAGAGAATGTGTGTGTACTCACCTAATTGTGATTGCAGGGGTCAGTTTACAGCTCCTGGCCCTGCCTCTTCACACTGGTATGTGTGTGTGTACTCACTACTCACCTATTTGTGGTTGTAGGGGTTGAGTCATAGCTCCTGGCCCCACCTCTTCACTGATTGCTACTAGGTCCTCTCCCTGCTCCATGAACTTTATCAAACTTAGTCTTAAAATTATGTATGGTTCCTGCCTCCACTATGTAACTTTCTAGGCTGTTACACTTCATGACAACTCTATGACTGAACAAATACTTCCTAACATCCCTTTGACTCATCGGAGTCTTCAACTTCCAATTGTGACCCCTTGTTTCTGTGTCTCATCTCTGGAACATCCTGTGTTTGTCCACCTTGTCAATTCCCTGCAGTATTTTATATGTTGTTATCATGTCTCCCCTAACCCTCCTGTCCTCCAGTGTCATCAGGCCAATTTTCCTTAACCTTTCTTCATAGGACAATCCCCTTAGCTCTGGGACTAGTCTTGTTGCAAACCTTTGCACTTTCGCTAATTTCTTTACGTGCTTGACCAGGTGTGGGTTCCGAACTGGTTCTGCATACTCTAATATGAGCCTAACGTACATGGTGTACAGAATCTTGAACACTTCCTTATTGAAGTATTGGAACACTATTCTTAGGCTTGCCAGGTGCCCATATGCTGCAGCAGTTATCTGGTTGATGTGCGCCTCAGGAGATATGCTCGGTATTATACTCACCCCAAGTTCTTTTTCCTTGAGTGAGGTTTACAGTCTTGGCCACCTAGACTATACTCTTGTCTCTGTTCTTCTTTGCCCTTCCTCGATCTTCATGACTTTGCATTTGGCGGGGTTAAATTCAAGGAGCCAGTTGCTGGACCAGGATTGTAGCCTGTCCATGTTTGTGTGTGTGTGTTCGTGTGTGTGTGTGTTTGTATGTGTGTGTTCATGTGTACTCACCTAGTTGTACTCACCTAGTTGAGGTTGCGGGGGTCGAGTCCGAGCTCCTGGCCCCGCCTCTTCACTGATCGCTACTAGGTCACTCTCCCTGAGCCGTGAGCTTTATCATACCTCTGCTTAAAGCTATGTATGGATCCTGCCTCCACTATGTGTGTGTGTGTGTGTGTGTACTCACCTAATTGTGGTTGCAGGGGTCGAGACTCAGCTCCTGGCCCCGCCTCTTCACTGATCACTACTAGGTCCTCTCTCTCTCTGCTTCCTGAGCTTTGTCATACCTCGTCTTAAAGCTGTGTATGGTTCCTGCCTCCACTACATCACTTGCTAGGCTATTCCACTTCCTGACGACTCTATGATTGTGTGTGTGTGTGTGCTTGTGTTTGTTAACGCTTTGACTGTTTTGGTCGTATATATATGTCTTACGAGCCACCGTTTTTGACGTATGTATACTCATAAATTCTAGCGGCTTCAAATCAAGCAGGAGAAAGCTGGCAAGCCCACATGTGAGGGAATGGATCTATGCGGTCAGTGTGTACCATATAAAAAAAATCCTGCAGCACGCAGTGCATAATGAGAAAAAAAAAACTACAACCGCTTTTTTTAATTAAAATGCCAACTTTGTGGTCTATTTTCGTATAGTATTTATGGCTGTATTCTCGTTTTCTTGGTCTCATTTGATAGAATGAAAAACATGTTATAGAAATAGAGGTGATTTTGATTGGTTTTACTATGAAAAGAACCTTGAAATGGAGCTCAAAGTAATGGAAATGTTTGATTTTTGCCGATGTTCAAAAGTAAACAAATGATGTCATTTTCCAATAAATATCTAAGTAGCCATTCTAATATGCAGTCATGAATGAGTTGACATTATTTATACAATTATTACAATATTGCAGTAGTCTGCATAACAGTAAATCTTCTATTTTTTGTTTGAATAAAAATTCAAAATAGAAAGCAAGAGTAATATCAGAGGGGCCTGGAGATGTGACTGATGAACAAAGAAAATGTTATTTTAGAGCCAGGAATGTCTCCATTGTTCATTCTGGACCCTATTTTGAAATTGTCATATTTTTTAATTTTCGTAAAATTGGCCAAATTGCAAATTCTGACCACGTTATTGGGTAGTTGGAATCGGTAAATGGGCAGTTTCTTGTTCTCAATCGATAGAAAAAATGGAATTCTAAAGAAATGGCTATGAGTTTGGTCAACTGGAACAATGGAATTAGCCGAAAATAGGGCTCAAAGTGGGCAAAGTCACCGATTCGTAAATATTGCCGAGGTCGCTAACTGCGCAAGAGCGTAATTCCACCAGTTTTCCATCAAATTTTGTTCTTTTGGTGTCATTACAATCGGGAAATGATTCTCTATCATTACATAAGAATTTTTTTTTTTTTTGGGGGGGAGGAATTTTGCGACACCAGGAGACACCTCAGGATTTGGGGTTGCAACAGTCAAGGGGTTAAGAGTAAATGCCAGCTAGTTAAAGTATACTGTTAATGCCTTTATTTAGTGTTTTTGCAGTATATCTGTAAATTATGTGTACATTACTATATAGGTAGTAGGTTGGTAGACAGCAACCACCCAGGGAAGTACTACCGTCCTGCCAGATGACTGTGAAACAGAAACCTGTAACTGTTTTGCATGATGGTAGGATTGCTGGTGTCTTTTTCTGTCTCATAAACATGCTAGATAACAGGGATATCTTGCTACTCCAACTTACACTTTGGTCACACTTAACAGACATGCACATTTTTTTTTTTTTTTTTTTTTTTTTTTTTTTTTTTTTTTTTCAACAAGTCGGCCGTCTCCCACCGAGGCAGGGTGACCCAAAAAAAGAAAGAAAATCCCCAAAAAGAAAAATACTTTCATCATCATTCAACACTTTCACCACACTCGCACATTATCACTGTTTTTGCAGAGGTGCTCAGAAATACAACAGTCTAGAAGCATACACATATAAAGATACACAACATATCCCTCCAAACTGCCAATATCCCAAACCCCTCCTTTAAAGTGCAGGCATTGTACTTCCCATTTCCAGGACTCAAGTCCGACTATATGAAAACAACCGGTTTCCCTGAATCCCTTCACTAAATATTACCCTGCTCACACTCCAACAGATCGTCAGGTCCCAAGTACCATTTGACTCCATTCACTCCTATCTAACACGCTCACGCACGCTTGCTGGAAGTCCAACCCCCTTTGCCCACAAACCTCCTTTACCCCCTCTCTCCAACCCTTTCGAGGACGACCCCTACCCCGCCTTCCTTCCCCTATAGATTTATAATGCTTTCCATGTCATTCTACTTTGATCCATTCTCTCTAAATGACCAAACCACCTCAACAACCCCTCTTCTGCCCTCTGACTAATACTTTTATTAACTCCACACCTTCTCCTAATTTCCACACTCCGAATTTTCTGCATAACATTTACAACCACACATTGCCCTTAAACAGGACATCTCCACTGCCTCCAACCGTCTCCTCGCTACTGCATTTACCACCCAAGCTTCACACCCATATAAGAGTGTTGGCACTACTATACTTTCATACATTCCCTTCTTTGCCTCCATAGATAACGTTTTTTGACTCCACATATACCTCAACGCACCACTCACCTTTTTTCCCTCATCAATTCTATGATTAACCTCATCCTTCATAAATCCATCCGCCGACACGTCCCAAATCCCAAGTATCTGAAAACATTCACTTCTTCCATACTCCTCCTCCCCAATTTGATATCCAATTTTTCTTTATCTAAATCATTTGACACCCTCATCACCTTACTCTTTTCTATGTTCACTTTCAACTTTCTACCTTTACACACATTCCCAAACTCATCCACTAACCTTTGCAATTTTTCTTTAGAATCTCCCATAAGCACAGTATCATCAGCAAAAAGTAACTGTGTCAATTCCCATTTTGAATTTGATTCCCCAAAATTTAATCCCACCCCTCTCCCGGACACCCTAGCATTTACTTCCTTTACAACCCCATCTATAAATATATTAAACAACCATGGTGACATACACATCCCTGTCTAAGACCTACTTTTACCGGAAGTAGTCTCCCTCTCTTCTACACACCCTAACCTGAGCCTCACTATCCTCATAAAAACTCTTTACAGCATTTAATAACTTACCACCTATTCCATATACTTGCAACATCTGCCACATTGCTCCTCTATCCACTCTATCATATGCCTTTTCTAAATCCATAAATGCAATAAAAACTCTCCCTACCTTTATCTAAATACTGTTCACATATATGCTTCAATGTAAACACTTGATCTACACATCCCCTACCCACTCTGAAACCTCCTTGCTCATCCGCAATCCTACATTCTGTCTTACCTCTAATTCTTTCAATTATAACCCTACCATACACTTTTCCTGGTAATACTCAATAAGCTTATTCCTCTATAATTTTTACAGTCTCTTTTGTCCCCTTTCCCTTTATATAAAGGGACTATACATGCTCTCCGCCAATCCCTAGGTACCTTCCCCTCTTTCATACATTTATTAAACAAAAGTACCAACCACTCCAACACTATATCCCCCCCTGCTTTTAACATTTCTGTCATGATCCCATCAGTTACAGCTGCTT